CCCCCCCCCCCCCCCCCCCCCCCCCAAAAAAAAACAAACCTGAATACAGCCACCACATCTGAAGACTGTTAAGCTGCAATATATTAAATGTTTGTGTTTGGGCTTAGAAAAGCTTTAATTGTTAAAGTAAACCATGCAATTTCCTTTGCAATGCCATCTTGAAAGCTCTTTAGTGCTCTTTTCTTGTCATGGCAATTTCAAGAAAGCAGCTGTTCAATCCATAACACTTTTACTTTCTCCCTCCTTTCCCCATTGGCTGGAATTCACTTTTTCTATTGGCTGACCTCAGCTAAGAGACAAAAAAGATTGAGCCAAATCGGAAAAGGAGTGATGAATTTATTGTATGCACAAAGACTGTAAAAATTTGACTAACTTTAAAATGTCTGAATTCCAGTCTGAGTTTTTAAAGCTGCCAACCAGGGACTGAGTTGAGGGAAAGAGCTTACAACAGCCTTTATGTACATGTGCAGTCAGATGGGATAGCAAGAGTAATGGGCATGGTTTACTTCAGGTAATCCAGTCATATACATGTACAGACGGCAAGTTATGGTGATCATCTAGAGATCAATCTCATATTACTGCAGCCTTACACAATCACTGGTTGGATGCATCACAGTAATTCATAACCAAGCATAGGTAATTTTATTTTGAAGTATAGGCAATTTTCAACCATGCAGTTTCCACTTGTTGAGCTCTCAACTCAGAAGCTGACAGCTGCTGCCCGACAGCCTGCAAGATCTTCCTCTGATTCTGGAGAAGCTGTTGCTCAGATTGATCTCAGCAATACAAGATCAATCTCATATTACTGCAGCCTTACAAAATCACTGGTTGGATGGATCACAGGAATTCATGCATAGGTGATTTTCCATGGAAGTAAAAGGTCATTTTCCTTTTAAGTCACCCATGCAGTTTTGGCACATTGAGTGCTAAATTTAGAAGTTAACAGTTACCTGCTGTTCTTGTTGCTGCCTGACAGCCTGTGAGATCTTCCTCTGATTCTGGAGAAGCTGCTGCTGTTGCTGCTGCTGCTGTTGTTGTTGCTGCTGCTGTTGTTGCTGCTGCTGTTGTTGCTGCTGCTGCTGCTGCTGTTGCAGAAGAAGCTGACAGGCCTGTAAAGATAAAATAAAACACATCAGCAGATATAGCTAAAACATATTTATTTTGTTGTTAATAATGAAAGATAAAATGCTTTGAAAACTTTCCATTTATCACACATATCTAACCATATGCGGTTAATCAGAGATATACCCGTATTTTTCGCTCCATAAGACGTACTTTTTTCTCCCCAAAAGGAGGGGGAAAATGTGCCTGCGTGTTATGGAGCGAATCCCGACGCCCGAGACATGCAGTTTCGGGCGCCGGGCGAGTAGTAGGAGCCACTGCTCGTTTAATACGAGTGATCTAATGAAATCACTCGTATTAAAGCCGAGCAGCGGCGATCAAGTTCAGCAGCAGGAGCCACTGCTCGTTCAATACGAGTGATCTAATGAGATCACTCGTATTAAAACCGAGCAGCGGCGACGATCGAGATCACCATAGAGCAGACGAAGAACGGACTTTCTTCGTCTGCTCTGTGTGATCACTGAGACCGTGGCGCTGTAATCACAGCGCCACCTGTCTCAGCGGTCACTAACTGCAGCTTCTGTCATAGAAGCTGAGTCAGAAGCTACAGTCTGTCGAGTGCTCCATAAGGTGCGCCGGACCTCCCTGCGTCCTATGGTCCGGTGCGTCTTATGGACCGCAAAATACGGTATGTATAGGGAAAGTCTGTCATGTCATGTTCATAAACATGCAGGCTCCGCTAAGAACACGTTTATCCTGTAAAGAGGGTGAGATGCTACTTAACCCCCCCCCCCC